GGGTTGGTCGGTGGTCGTTTTTTGTTGTTTTTGATGGGGGGGTTTTTTGGGGGGGTGAATTCATTCCCTATGACTGAATCGGTGTTTTATTTGTGTGTCCCCTTCAGGCCAGCACCAGTGCGTGAGTGTCATCAACAACTTTTTCCCGCAGTCAGAGATCGATTACTACACCAAGCCTCAAGGTATGCCATAAAGGTGCCCTCATTTAGGGGTCAAAGAAGCCATAGTGTCCAACTCCCATGTTCAAGGTTGCAGGTTCAATTTCCAACTTTGCCATATGGCCTTATTAAAGGCATTGTGGTTTATTTTCCACAGCTGCAAAACAGTGTCTTTACAGTTGCAAGCAATAGACACATAGTATGTAAAGTATAGCATTTTTGGCAGCTTGCCAGCCCCCCTCCCCCCCTGCCCCTGAATTGAGATTGTTTGTTGCAGCTGGCTAAGGTAGTTAGTGAATGCAAAGTTGTGTTATATGGGGTGCCCACTATGGCTGGCTCGGGCTGATCGCCTGACTCGATCGCCTGAAACTGAAAACAAACATGTTTGTTTTTGAGGCGATCGAGTCGGGCGATCGGCCTGATCGGCCGATCCCCTCCGTAGTGGGCACCCCGTATTAGGTTTCATCACTCAGGAAAGAGGCCGTGCATTGTTATACTAACTTTTACTCTTGGATCTGTGTTTTGAATGAAGTGGAGATGCCAGAACTGGTAGGCCCATTTCATATTGATTATTCTATTTTATTAGGAAAAGATGGATAAAAGAGGTCAGAGAAACATAAGACAAAAATAGTATGAACATGAAAAAGGTGGTACAACAGATGAGAGAAAGACGTTTGCTTCTCCCCTAAACACCCTTGGTAACAGATGCTAGAAAAAATAAAAATCATGTCTTAGTTTCATGACCTTATATGGTCTCACTTAATAGTCTATCGGCTCAGGTTGTTTCCTTGGGTGGGACAACCTTGTTTCGAATTCCCAATAGAGCTTCCTTGATTTTGAGTCGTTTGGGGAGTTTTCATGGCTCCCCACCCACTTTGCTTGGTTTTATTTATTTTTTAGATAACCTTTTCATGTTGAAAGAGGTGTTATTTCACACTTACTTTACTTTTCCAATCAAGCGAACACTGAGTACGAACACTTTGGCTTGTTATTATGACAAAGAATTTACAGGTTGCAAAGGGTATTATAACATTTCCCATGCATGCCATAGCCAACTTCTTCAGCCCAGTTGACTCTTTCTCTCTCTCCCAGGTTTGGAGAAAGAAGCTAAACTGCCTGCCTCTGTAGCCCCTTCCCTGTGCAAGCTCATCAATTTCTCAAATCTGCACCCTGTCAAAGTAAGTGAGACACTTATAGATAGAGAAAGAGAGAGGTATGTGTCTGTTCATATCTCTGAGAGAGGTGATTATTTTTACATGTCTCTGAAAAAGAAGGATGTGTATTTCTTATTTCTTTGAGTAAATGAGAAGTGTATGTTTAGGTCTCTGAGAGAGAGATAGTTTTTTATGTCGCTTAGATAGGGGAATCTTGTGTTGTTTTGTTTTGTTTTTTTGTTGGGTTTTTTTTTTTTTTTTTGGAGAGAGAGAGAGAGATGTTTATGCTTATGCCTGAGAGAGAGCGAGAAAAGTGTACATTTCATTTCTGTGAATGAGAGAGATATAATATATGTATCTTTATATGTCAGTCCGAGTGAAAGAAATATATGTCACGATGCTGTGGAATCGGGCACTCGTCAATTTTTGGACATGTTGAGTTATTGGTATACTCCTAAAGCTTGTTCATTTGTCTATCTTTCGATGAAAAAAAGCCCATCTGTCTTGAATAGAAATCGAGATATTTGCAATTGAACGAGGTGGGCCGCCTGATTTCAGAGGTAAAGTCACTGAGAAAATGGCAGCCGAAGTTGGGTGATTTTCAAAGCTTGAGAGTCCTCGGAAACTGAAAATTTACCTTGTTTATGTTTTTAATCAACATTGTTTTGCTCTTCTCTTTGCAGATGATGGTTTGAGGGGTACTGGTTGATCCTATTTTTCTTGCCCTCCTCACCTGTATTATTTCTTTTTATACTGTTTTCCTGAACTAAATGACCATTATTGTGCCCACATGCCTTAACTGAAATTTTTTTTAATTTCTTCTACGGTGAATAAAATTTCTTGATCTGATTTCTTCGTTGGTAGATCACTCTGTTCCTACGAGATCACGCAGAGTTGTTGGCCGAGTCCAAGCGAGTGTGCCTGGTTCTGTCGCGGCTGGTGGAGAAAAACATGAAATCTCGAGAGGTCAACGACGTGGTGGCCCTTAAGTGTCACTTCATCTCCACTGTGGTCAAGCTGGCCGCCGAGGCGAAGGAGAACGACAAGGAGAAGTCGATCACAGGCTGGCTCAAGAGGTTGGTCTACATCTGCATTTGGTTTGCCTCTTGGTTTTGTTATACCAAACAGATCTTTATTCAGTACAAACAGTAACAGAAATTAGCACAAATAGGCTAATGGCCTTATAATTGTTCAAATATGGGTGTGGGGGGTAGAAGATTAGCTCTGTACAATGCTGTGTCCATGGGAAAGGCGCTTCACAAGAATTTTTTCCATTTGACTTACTCATATCAGAGATAATTTCAGTTTCGAACAAACAGTAATTGGAGATATTGTATAAAGGTTTGGCTTCTTTCCTTGTTCTCAAAGGACACAAGTTTGATTTTTTTCTTGAGAACAATGTTTTATCGAGCAGATCGGCCTTTCTGCTAGGATGTATCCCATACAGCCAACGTTAGCCTTAACAGGCGGCTCCTAGCAGCCAGGGTCCTGAATTATCTAAATTGTGCTAATTAAGGCATGAGACATAAAAACAAAATTACTGCCACTGAAATTTTATGCTGCATGCCTCTGTGGCCCCTTGTGCAAGCTCATCAGTTTCTCAAATTTACACCCTGTTAGAATAGGTGTGAGACGCTATAAAGAAAAATAGAAAAAGAGAGGGATGTGTATGTACGTCTCAGAGAGAGAGGGAGAAAAGGGAAAAGAAAGAGGCATGTATAATATGTATGTCTCAGAGAGAGAGATGTGAATCTGTATGTCTCTGAGAGAGAAAGGGAGACAGGGGAGAATATAATTATATCTAGATGTCTCGGGGGGAAAGGGGGAGTGAGATATGGGTCTACATGTCTCTCTTAGAGAGAGGGGGGGATGTATATGACTGGTCGGTCTGTCTCTCTGATACTATTGTTTTTACTGCTCTCTTAGTTTGACCCGAGGTCGGGACGGAGATGGCTTCATGGAGTTCCAGGAGCGGCTCATCCGACAGTCCCTGAAGGATTTCCCCTATGTGAGCTCGGCTCTGCTGCAACAGCTGGTCAGGCAAATTGCTCCTGTGAAAATTGTGAGTGATTTTTTTTCACCATTTCTTTAGGGTAACTATTGAACTATTGTTGCAGCTATTGACCAATGTGTTTTTTTAATGGAAAGTTACTTTTATAACAGTGATTTCTATTTTTTAAAAGCCATTAAACAGGTGGTATCTTTTGGAAAGTAGGTGTTCTGCAAAGGATTTCTTGTAGAAAATAGCTATTGACAGAGTGATTTCTTCTGGAATGTAAGTATTGAACATGTCTTTTTTTAAATCTCTATTAAACAAGTGCTATTTTTGAGACAGTAGCTTTTGAACGAAGGATTTCTTTCAGACAATAACTCTTAACAAGTAATTTCTTTTTTAAAGTAGCTTGAGAACAAAATTATCTTTACTTGGTACTTGAGATGTGGATCTGGAGGACAGCAGACAGCTTAGGATGACACACACATTGGGTGCTGCAAAGTTTGACAGGTTTCAGAAATTTATAAAAGAGTAAGAGTCTCCTCTGGAATTTTTTGGCTGATGCTTTGACCTATTATATCAAAAAGACATGTATATATAGATGTATAAAGTATCTTTCGGACATTATGGTTTAAGTTGAAGGAACTTCAGTAACCTATCACATTAATGTTTTAGATTCAATATATATGGATGTATAGGAAATTGTTACTCCACTACCTCTGTATGTCTCACAGCCTTATAAAATATAAGTATATATGCGACTAAATAGTTAACTGCAAACCAGTCCTCAAAGGTAATTTTTCTAATGCCTATTTACACATTTTTGTGTCTATGTCGTGAAGATACATGTTTATTTTCAAATTTTGAAAATGAAATATTGATATTATAAGAAAAAATGTTCATAATATAAGGAAGGTTTATTTTCCCCAAGGTTAGATACATGCCTTTACTTCCTTTTTTAGCAGGCATGGTCTTTGGAGAATTTGGTTCCATCTATTGATTTGAAGAATTGAAAGCATCCTCTCATAAAGAAGAATATGGCTTTTTGTAAGGAGAGAGACCATGTTTTTCTGCAGGAAAATAGTCCTTCAGGATATATTGTATATAAGAAACGTGAGGTTCATAAGGGGAACATGGAAGAAAAAGGAACTAAATATGATTTGATGACAGCTTTAAAATGTAACCTATGATAGTGGAGAAAGAATGGTGTTTGGTGACTTGTGTCTCATTTTGCTTGGCTGCAAGACATACAAATATATTTTGGAATGATCTTAAGTTCTGTTTTAAGCTACTCATTGTAACAGTTTTGTGTGTTGTACTTGTCTCATGCAGGGTAATGATCCCACTGCATTCTCACTGCTCACGTCCGCCATCAATGGCCAACAGTTTGCCTGGGATGCTGGCGAGGGCTGCGAAACTTGTGGAGAGGCCAAGGCGGAGGCAAAATGCTCTAAGTGTAAAATGGTGAGTTCTTGCGGGAAATGCTTTGAGTGTAGAATGTTGAGTTCTTGAGTGAAGTGTTCCCAGTGTAAAACGGTGAGTGCTTGAGTGAAGTGCCCCCAGTGTAACATATTGAGTTCTTGAGTGAAGTGTTCAAGTGTATAAAGTGGTTAGTGCTTGGTTGAAGAAGATGATAAGTCTGAATGGTGATTGAAGAAGATGATAAGTCTGAATGGTGATTGAAGAAGATGATTGACAAGTCTGAAGCATGGAATACAGGGTGAATAAAAAAAAAAGTGTACAACTTTTCTGGTTAATATTTTCCTCTGCACTGAAATTTTGAGTTTCAAGTACACAACTTTTGGAAGTCAAAAGGAATTTCTCTGATATTCATTTTAGATAAATCCACAAAATAGTTTTCCTCCACATAGCGCGTAAAAAAACAACCCGTTTTTCAGCTTTGTCCCCAATTTTATAGCACGACGCACTAGTTGGCATTGGGCCTACCACTAAAAATTCCAATGATTGCACCATATTGGAAACTACAGTAGTCTATCTGGCCAACAGAAGTTTGCAGATAGTTTTTCTCAAGTTTCCTTTGCCTGCTGAGATCATGGTTAAGATTGGCAAAAAGCAGAGAGCTTTTTGTGTTGAACATTTCCTCACCACCAACTCATTTCGTAAGTTTCGCACAATTTACGGAACTGATGTTAACCGTCTTTGATGTCAAGGGTGGAAATGATCCATCGGTTAGGACTTGTAGAGAATCAGAACTAAAAATTCCAAGACAGATCGATATCTTCAGGTCAAACACACACTGTTTGCACCCTTTAAATTTTAGGCGTCACCAGGGTGCAGAATTCAGTAGATGAGCCTCTTGAGACGTCTGTCCGTAGATGATGTCTGCAGCAATGACTTTCCTACATCTCAACGGTCGGCACTCTCAAGGCTGATCTTCATCTACAACTGTGCCATTTTCACGTTCACAAAGCTATCAGAGGATAACAATGTGTTCATGATTCCTCGATCGTCTTGAAAAGCGTGAACATTAAATTTCCCCTGTGACATGTGGTTCCTTGACAAAGCCCATATCCATCTTTCATATTTGGGCAACCTCACCCCCTTCCCCTTTCGGGGGTTTAATTTTGCAGCCCAGATCTTTGGTCAATAGATCAGCGGTACATGAAAGTACACTTAAGACTAAGTATGTAGGGAGAAAATATATATTAGTTCTGAATCCTGGAGTGCAACTGGGGAATGGGATCAAGGCATCTCAAGGATTTGGAAGTTGCCATTATTATCTCTTTCTGTGCCCTTGCTTGTCTTCCCATAGCTTTAAGGTGTCAGAAAAGCAGTGATCTATTAGTGTAGCTCCAGGCACTGAAGGGTTTATGGATGATCCACATGTCTTTTAAGAAAAAATGCACATATAAAGGGAAAGTACTGCCCGTAATTCAGTTTATCTTTCCCTGAATAATGGGGTTATGTACCTGTGACATTTGGTTCCTTGACAAAGCCCATATCCATCTTTCAGGTTATATCAGCTCCACATGCTGTCTATTTGGGCAACCTCACCCCTTTCCCCTTTCGGGGGTTTAATTTTGCAGCCCAGATCTTTGGTCAATAGATCAGCGGTACATGAAAGTACACTTAAGACTAAGTATGTAGGGAGAAAATATATATTGTTCTGGCATATTAGTTCTGAATCCTGGAGTGCAACTGGGGAATGGGATCAAGGCATTTCAAGGATTTGGAAGTTGCCATTATTATCTCTTTCTGTGCCCTTGCTTGTCTTCCCATAGCTTTAAGGTGTCAGAAAAGCAGTGATCTATTAGTGCAGCTCCAGGCACTGAAGGGTTTATGGACGATCCACATGTCTTTTAAGAAAAAATGCACATATAAAGGGAAAGTACTGCCCGTAATTCAGTTTATCTTTCCCTGAATAATGGGGTTATGTACCTTTGTCCATTTGTAGAGAGCTTTTTGAAAGACATTGTAGTGGTCACTTTGCAGAATTCACAATCATTAGGTCTTTGGAATCATAATCTGGGCACAACGTGTCCCTGAGAAGAAAAAAATATAATCATAATGCTGCTTTCTTCACTTCACCCAAATGGGAATGGTATTCCCAGTTTAAAGAGTGGAGGATTTTGT